CATTTCGGAGTTTACACTCATACTAGTAGCGGAGCTGAAACACTTCGGCGAGTACGCAGACCACGGCTTGAAGGCAACACGTGCAGACAGACAGACAGACAGACAGACAGACAGACAGACAGACAGACAGACAGCCAGGCAGGCAGACAGACAGACAGACAGACAGACAGAGAGACAGACACAGGGAAATGTGACCGAGAAGCGCGAAAACTCAAACGAAATCGGATTCGCACCCGAAAAGCTCTACACTGACTGTTAGAACAACTCTTTCCAAGCTTTGTTCTGTACGGACTGCACACGGAGACCCAGACAGGCCCCAACTCCGCATGACTGACTCGCTGACCCATGCCGTCGAGAAGCAGGGCAGAGAGAGACTCTGCAATTGCGATAACATCACCGCCACGATCCTCATCCGCTCCTGCTGCCAGCATCTGCACTCTCTCCGTCGGGATCGCGGGGTTATGTACGACTCAAAACGTGATCAAGCACGAAACATCGATCCAGGCCTTTGCCTAGCTCTCCGAGTCTCTTAAGCCCATGACGCCTCCTGGCAGCCTGATCCCGACCCGGTACTCCTCCAGCCTCAAGTCCCGACATGCTGAGGGCTTAAGCGCTCCTCCGAGGACATCTTCCTCTGGACCGCAGCACTTCGGCTGGTACTGTCCCATGGCTTCCCGACGGCCGGGCCCAAAGCCATAAACCTAAAACTCAAGCCACGGCTGAAAGCCAAACTGATAATACTAAGTCCTTACATGTCTGTCTTCGCTTGCACTCTTCCCGATCAAAAGGGCGATCATGCAATCAGATCAAGCCTTATGGACAACATTCTGGCAGTATGCGAGCGAACCTTGCTGTGAACCTCAACCCGAAAGAGCTGAAAGGGTATGCCTGCGGAATCAGGCAATTCGATCGCAAAGCCAGCATCAGCTCGAGCTGCACGCAGGTCTCTAAGCGAGGAGCCATAATAAAAGTCCAAGGTACCGTAGAACAAGCTCGAGGCGAAGAACGAGCAACTGGCAGTAGGTAACAGTTTAAGCTCCGGCTCATGCTGGGTTTGACAAGTCCTGGTAGCAGTGGCGTCTTCTCCCTTTTTCTCCGGTGCAGTGCTACACGTGGAAATTTCATCCTGCGCGACATGGACCTGTGAGGGTTTTCAAACTCCGTACCTAATCACTCCTGAAATGCTAAACCCTCTTCGCCCTAAATGCTCCTAGGGTAGTGCCCAGCGCACTGCTCTGACGTCGATCCCTCGACTCTAGACCGATATCCAGCTCCTAAACCCCCAAAGCACAACTCCCAACCTCCTCGCCTCAAGACGAAGCCTTTGAAGCTGGACCAAACCCGCGGAACTCGAATCTGTCACCCTGACCTGAGAGACCCCAACGCGGAAAACCCCCCTGCATCCACGAAAGACGGGGGTAGCCCGGATCCAAGTCCCCGCCGAAGGCTTCGCTCGTGATTTATTGCACTGCAATGCTTTCTTCCCCTCCCCTTTGTGACCTGGCGTAGATGCAATCAGATTGAGGTCGACACTCGCAAAGTGCCCGGCTACCCTGTAGGAGCCTCGGGGTTCAGGGCATCAGCCTGTCCCGATGCTTAGATACGGAATTCTGAAAGCGCTTTCTGGTCCCCGTGCTCGTGTGGTGTGATGGCTGCCTGCCTGGTGAAGAGGTTTCACCACCCTCTACGGGGACTTCGATGCCGGGCTCGCAACTTTTGACGGCTTTTTCAACTTTGTTGAGGGCCATTTTCAGAACTCAGTCTGTCGTGAGAGTATTAGCAGGGAGAAAGGCTCTAGAAGCTGTCGTGTATCGGCTGTCTCCACCGTGCCTCTGGGAGATCTCCCTGCTGCAATCGTGCGATGAGGAGTCCCCTTAACGCACTGGGGTGCAGCATACTCGTGGTTGCGAGGATGGCGAGGCAAACATGTTTCCAGGCTAAACGACTCAAGACGAGCACAGGACCGCATCGCAGCTCCGCTTCTGAAACATCAGTAGCAGAGAGGCCCCCTGAGTGTCCGCAGGCTAAGCCTCTCATCCGAATACTGATTGTTGTAAGCCCCAAAGCCTGCCCCAGGCATCTTTTATACGCACCCAACTCAACTCCCTCGAAGCCCTTATTGCAATCTTGAGCCTGACATCCTTGACGGCCTTAACCCCAGCCTTGTGCAGAGAAAGCCACTAGCCCGAAGTACCTTGATGCATCGAGCCGTGCTGGCACAAAATTTTGCCATCGCTAGGTTTTCCATGAAAGCCTGCGGTTGATCCTTCAGGACTTTGGATCAGCGTCCGGGTCGACGTTGTGTGTTTTGCATGTATGTGTGTGGCTCCTTGGGGGGCGCCTTGAGACCACCGCTGTAAAGACCACAACATCAATCCACACTCAGAGGCTCTGTCACGGAGCATTCATGCAACCCTTTCCCTAGGAACATGTAGTAGCGTACTAGTAAGAGTGGAAAAGTTGATGACAAGGACACTCAAAAAATGTTCAGAACTGCCGCGCGGACCCTCGGGTGCAAGTTGACAGCTCAGGTGGCTGATCTTGCCTCTGGACCTTTCATCTCGGACTTATTGCCTAGACTTCTGGATTTAATGCCGTTCTGGCCAGATGTGTCTCCTCGTTTTGGTGCATGGCCGAAGTAGTGCCTAATCGTCTGGGACCTACTGCCACGGACCCGAACATTCAATGTTGAGAAGAACCCAAACCGTTACCCTCAAGCTTAGCTCCCTTCGCGAAGGCTTGGCCATGGGTCAAGCCAGGCATAAGCAGGTCTCAACTCCCCTGTGTGGCACTTACATCATCCCTGATCGTGCCCCATCGAAGCTTGTCGCACCGGTCTTGGACAGGGTCGCTTAAAGTATTCTGAGTCCAAGGATGCAGGTGCAGGCTCCGGGTCCAAAGGCTCAGATGATTCAGGTCGGAAAGCGGAATGCTCCTATCTTGAAGCTAGCGACAAGGCCCTCTCGTTGCCGGCAGATTGTTTGTTGCTCCGGCCGCCTGCCTAAAGTGCGTACTGCATCAAAGCCTGGAGCGAAAGCAAACGTGCACTAACCCCCTAATGGGCTCGGCTTGCCGCACTCGTGCCAATGCTTCACATGGAGCACTGAAACCAAGCCCGGTGCCAAGAGGGCCTGCTTAAAAGGCCGGGGCGCCAGCCGGTCGTCGGCTCTTGCACTCCACTGAAAAGGCAAGTAGGTTCTGACTTTTCATGTAATGAAGAACACTGACAGGACCTGGCAATGCATTTGAGGTCTGACACAGCCCGGACATGGTAATGATATGTCGTGCCTCATGATGAGAAATTCCGAACATAGACCCTGAATAAAAATCACGAGCCGATCGACCGAGGCAGGTGCCCACAGCGGACCAGTCCGTGCGGCAAGACTACTTACACTAACACTAACTTACTGCCGGGATGAGCGGAAAGATTGACAGCAACAGACACAAGAACGACTTAAGACCGACGACATCACGTAGACGACGGAGCCGACGTCATACTAAACTCCTCCTCCTCCTCCTTCTCCTGTTGCTGCTGCTGCTGCTGCTGCTGCTGCCACTGCCACGTCTCTATAAAATACTTTACTAAGAATAATAACACTGATACGAAGACTGACTAAGACTGATGCTGATACTGCTTCAGCGTTAATATGAGTCATAACAACACGAAAACGAAACTTAATACTGTTACTAACAATGCGGACAGTAACAGTTGCAGTTGCAACAACAACAACAACAACAACAACAATGACAGTGCTATAAGAAAATAAGAAGCACAAAATACAGACAAAAACACAATACACAAAAAATAATAGTAATAGCAATAGCAACAGCACTAGCAATCGCAATAGTATAGGGGTAGTAACAGCAACAGTAACAGTAATAGTTATAGTAATCGTAACTAACAATTGCAATCAGAATAGGAATGCGTATAAAGAACAAAAGATAAAGAAAAATAGCAATAATAGTCAGAATACTAACGAAAATACAACAAATAAGTCCAATAACCAGATAATGATAATAATGATGAATAAGAAAAGAACAAGAAAGACAACGATGATAGTGATAAAAAGTATAACAATAGGAAATAAGAAGAAGAAATCACAGTAATAAAAACGCTTTCTATAGTAGTAGTAGTAGTAGTAGTAGTAGTAGTAGTAGTAGTAGTAATAGTAGTTGTTGTTGTTGTAGCAGCAGTAGTAGTAAGGATGATAATAGTAGTAATAATAATGATAATAACGAAACATGCTACCAATACAAATATTGGAATGACAAGAAATGTTAAGGATTATGGTACTGGCAATAAAACAACAACAATAGCAACAGTAATTACAATCAGAATGCTGCTTCTGCTGCTGCAAGACTTTGGCGAAACCGAATCCACGAACCTCAGTCACAAACCTAAACGGCAATAGCGCAACTTGTGGTCATTGTAGTCCTACGAGTGGGTATGAGCTGCTTAGACCGGGAAGCATTTAGACAAACAAACAAAGACAAGAAGAGCTCAATGGCTTGCGGTGCAGAGGATCGGGCTTCTCCGCGAATGCGCACGGTACCAGGGCGCAGAGCTCCACTCAAGACTTCAACCTGGACAAGCCGAGGCATGCTGAGGGCTTGGCATGGGTGTAGGGGCTCTTGAGCCACGGACAAAAAAGAGCTGCAAGTCAGGCCCTTAGGCATCTTCGAAGTGACGACCTGCCACCACCACCAAAGATCCAACATCACAGCCTCACAACACCACAAGACCGGAGATGCAACATGAATGCTGCCTCCCCGGCATGTTTGCGAAGCAGAGTCACACCAACACATGACACGTCGAGCAGCTAAAATCCTGCGCCCTAAACCGGTTGAAAAAAGTGCACTCGAAACGGCTGCTCGAAATTCAAGCGACAATTAAACATAGAATCCGACGGACCACGCCCAAAATTTCCGGTGGAAACCTGAGAAACCCTGGAGCCTAGCCGTCGCACAGTCAAGCCCCATTAAACCTCCAGGGTCGCACCTCAGGGGCTGTTCTTGCTTCGCAAAGAGAAAGAGCCAACCTCTTGACCTGAACTCCGGGCTCTCTTTCGGCTCTCTTTCGGCTCTCTTTCGGTGAACGGTTTCGGATTTAGGGGTACTTCTTGGCCTAGTTCCCAGCTAATCTGAAGCAAGAGTTCAGTTGTGTCCCGGCCTCGAGGCCGGACACCGACAATTCCCACAGATCCTGAATTCCCCTGCTCTGATCTCGATGCCCGACAACTCCCCTGTTTCCACCCCAGCTCAGCTCTGTTGGTCCCAATGACATCTTTCTAGAACACACTTCTGGGCTCGGTCACCTCCAACTAAAAACACATCTTCAGGCCGTGCCCTAAGCGCGGCTTCTGAAACTAGATGAGGCTGTGTGACGAAAACCAGGACATCTGCTAATAGAACCTTCTGTTTTTGCACCAACTTCAATCGCCAAACTCGCAGCCAGCAACCGCTGCCACCCAACAGCGCCGGGTCACGAGAAAAAACGGCAAGGTTGTGCAGCCTGGGCTCCATAGGTTCGGAGACTTGTTCGTTTGAGTTTGAAGCTACAAACACTGCATGCAAGATCTCCCGGCTGACTCTGACACTGCAGGCGTTCACACGGCCTCGATCCAAGAAACTGCCGACACGGTGAAGCTTGTGCAAGAAAGGAAAAACGATGAATAAGGGCATGAGTCATGCGAACGAAGAGGACTGCGACACTATGATCAGGTCCACGGCCCTGGAATGTTCTGCGGCGCTTGGGATGCCCTGGCACCGAAACTTCTGGCCTTTACGTCTCCCCAGCAATCGCGACCCGGAATCTTGCCCAATTGCGTTCGCTGCTGGGATGCATGAACCTCGATGTTCCGTCGTGTGGTCCTCTGTCCCGGGGCTCTTATCATAGATCGACTTTGCGTCATGTTACTGTCGTGATTCGACCTTTTCTTTGATCCCTGTCTGGTGTCCATGGGATTTCGCATCGTCGCATCGTCAATCCTGGGCGGTACCCTGGAGTTTCCGTGATTGACACGATCTGCCTGATAGAAAAGTTGGACTACAACCCTTTCGGCGAATACCACGAAACCTTCCAACAATAGACATGGGACTGGAGGGCCGATGCTTTCCGAAACTGCGCCCGGAGGTTGTCGTCTTCAGGGGCGTCCTTCGGCCGTCTTGACTGTCGGCTTACCCATGCTTGAGGAAAGCTTACGCCATAAACGACGAAAACGGCCCAAGACCGGCAATGTTATCAACTGTTGTTGCTGGAAGAGTGGTAGAGGCTCAGGGTTCAGGACGCGGGGGTGCCATTTGCAACTCAAGAACATGCAGTCTGTGCCTGATCCATTAGCTGTACCGCGTGTCCAAATGCTGAAGTAGACACGAGGCGAGGTGGTGCTGGTGACAACAACTGGATGCCTCAACCCTGCCTGCTCAAGCCTGATTTCCAGCAGCTTCGAAACCCAGACAGCCCAGGATTCAGGTCCCGAAGCCCGAGTCCCCTAAACCTAAACCCAGGCCTTGTCGAGCTTGCGTGATAAGTTCTCCAGCTCACGCTGCAGCTTGTTTAGATCCTTGGTCGTGCTGCGGTATGCAAGTCTGCAAAATGTCTCTGTTTACATCTACAAATACATGCATTAAGGTATGTGTACATATATATATATACAGAAAAAAAAAATATATATATATATATATATATATATATTGTATATGTGTATGTAGGTATGCATGCTCTCACACTGACAACCATGACGTCAACCCATTCCAGTCAGCCCAGGAACTGCGCGCATGGCGACCTGGTCAATTGCACGTGCTGGTCCTGGGCAAACTCAGCAGCGGCCCGAGTTCGGGGGCTTGTTGCGTTTTCTTGTGACACTTGCCAGCGACATACCTTTTGGGTTCTCAGATTCGAGCAGCCCCTCTACATGTGGGAGAATGCCTTCAAGCAGGAAAGCCTTGGTACTAATCCCTGCTCAGCTCACGACGGGAACAGCGCAAAACAGCCCGGTGCACGTCAGAGCTTAAACACGACTCAGCTGGGTCAGCTGCTTCTGGATACAAAACAACCGCGCTCGCCTTCTCCGAAAGTTGATCAGACACGATGCAATGCGGCAGCAAGTGCAGCTATGCATACTAAGATGCCGTCGCGTGTGCAATCTACCATTGTCTATAACCTTTCCACACACTCAGACTACACAAATAAAAGTTTCATGGATACACGGTTAAATAAACTCGCAGAGTTGTCGATGTCCAACTGTGGTCCTCCTGAAGCGGTCGAAAACCGCTTGCACACGAAGAATGAAATTACAGCCTCCGTCACAACGTTCTTCGGCAGGCGTTTAGCCCGGAATTTAAATCCCTCAAAACATCCGGGCCACCCTTGCAGCGTAAGATCCCATCCTCGGCCCACGGCAGGGATCAGGGCGAAGGAGTGGACTTCGGAGCTCTTGGGTTTGTTGTCTCTGCTCGGTTCTGCCGGTCCTGGACTTCGAAGGCTGCCGGGACATGCAGCTGCTGTGCTGTCTGAATCTGCTCCTTGCCGCGGGCCTGAAGCTTGGAAGGGTATGTCGTATTTTTTGCCTCTTGCGTCCCTGGGAGCATTCATTGCTCGAGCAAGGGTAGCTTTTGGGCCACGGAGCCTGGCTCTACTCGCACCCCGGCATTTCGGTCTAGATCTCCCGGAACTACAAAGAGCGGCGCCTAGTGTTCAGAGGCTTCGTAGAAGCAAGGATGCCGGTTGAATGAGCAGGAGGGCTTGCACTAAACTCTCGAAGTCTAGCCCGAGTCAGAACCATAATCCGCAAGATACCGACGGCCTCGCGAATTTGTATGCTGTCTCAGGCGCTATAAATTCTTCGAGGGTAACCTCACCATCGCCGTTGTCCTGAGAAAAACTGAGCTTACGATTTTGCTATGGGTGCATTAGCCGTTTTAGGATGCAGGTTGTGAACATTGGCCTCGTAGTCGCCCGGTCCGTGGTGGTGACGAAAACCGGAACCATGTCTGAGACTAACTTTTTTGTCACATGCATGTGGGTAGAACCCTGCCAAGGCCATCCATGATGTGTTGCACAATCGACGGCTCTGTCTTGAAGAATCTGATGAGGTCTCCAGACGCAGGGCTCCAGGCTTCAGATCCTGTAACTAGCGGCCGGCATGACATGTACAGTCGAAACCCTAGCAGAGCTTAAACCCAGCAGCCCGGAGCGCTTGTTACTCGAATTCTGCATAGAAAGGCATGTGCCCGCTTTGAGAAAGCTTTGGAAATCTTGATCTCTCGCGCGGGATATAGAGACTGCTCCCTTGCTGTGTTCCGGCCAAGATACGATGATGTGAAACAGGGCGGCACCTGGGTCCGAGTTCCAGCTTCAGGGCGGCTCCGGGAAAAACCTGCCGGCCTTCCAAGCCCCCGGTTCCAGTCCGTTTGCCCTTACAGCCTTCAGCCTCTGAACTTTGCAGCCTGCAACACGCAGCTGCGAAAACCGCCCAGCATCAAAGACAGCCGGCCTTCGTGCACATCCAACTCTAGCGTCTGGAAATAGGCTCGCACCTGGCAGTACTTGGAGGGTTCGGAAAACAAGTATCACCTGACAACACATGGGCGCTTGCATGATTGAACCCTGCGTGCGGGAAACTCACACTAGAACTCCAAGCTTTTGTGGTTCCTCTTGCGCTCGCTGCTGACGTTTGGTTGTAATTGCCGGGTGGTGGTGTGGAGGATGCTGATGTTGATGACAACGGTGGTCTTCCTCATTCTGTTGGGGCTGACGAGGAGAGTGGATATGAAGATGGAGGTGGTATTGGACTTGGAGATTGCGGGAAATCAAAAGACCTGTCAAGGCTTGGAAGGGAAGACGAGTGCCGGAAAACCTGACACGGATAAGCAAGCGACCTTGCATGCAAGCCAAGTGGCGATCGGGTCTTGCAAGACAGATGAAAGCTGCGACTGGGAAATCATACCTTGAGTTCGCAAGCGGCTTTTGGAAGCTTCGGGATTTCGAAGTCAGGACTCACGACGAGCCAGGAGAATTGAGACTTCAGCATGTCTGAGTTGAAAGACTTCAAGCCAGAACCCGTGGAGTTTTCGTGCTGCCGTAACTTGTCAGAACCACCACAAGGAAAAGAGCAGACTGCCCTTGTGTCATTTCAGACGTTCCGACGCCACACTTTGACCGAAGCCCCCGGTCTACTAACACGAGGTCCACGTTTCAGCATCGGTGCCATTGCCTGTCTCATCGATAGCCTGGAACACTCTTTCCAGTTTCTTCACCTAGGCGAAGTGCTGGCTTAAGCACACAGCCACCCTGAGAGGCATGATCGAACAAAACACCAGCGCCAAAACCCGCAACGCCTGAAAGAGGACATGCTGTTTCAACAGCCCTGCCAACAACATTCCTCTGCTCACACAAGCCATCACATGGCCATCACATGCTAGCGCTGCGAAACAACATATCCAGGACCGACGCTTGCGCTCGATGAACACTCATCCTGTCAGCTTCCCAGGCCCTGTGCACCCTCTTCGCCACCAGCCGAAGGGTGCCCGAATCCAGAACGGAAAGAGGAGGGAACGAAAGGCGTCCAGCTGGATAAGGGCCGGACATACTGCGACTTCTTCTGTAACCGCTCCTGGTCAGCGTCCGCATGTCTGCACGTATCACTCAGCGTTCCGAACATTGGATATCAAATCAAGCACATTACACCCTTATGTACATTGACAATAATACCTCGTTCTCTGCTGAGCTAATCTCACAAGCCGGGTCCATCTAGCCTTGCGCTGTCGGAGGACTTACTCGTTGGTCTCATTCACATGCTAAGCCAAGCCCCAAAAAAAGCTGGGTGTCACCCTAGCCACTGCTACTGTCCAACAAGTGTCGTGATGTAGACAAGTGTGGGGATAATGGGCACCTACCAGTTATCCGAACCAACTCGGTACAGAAGCATCCGAAGAAAGTGTTGAAGTGTTACGGTGGCCGAGGCACATGGAGGAAGCCTATCAGACTTTAGGGGTGTCGCCTGCTCTTTACAACAAAGCCGGAACGCAGCCACAACCTCGAACCCTTACTTACTGCTACATCAAGAAGCACAAAAAGAGCATAACTGTTGCAGGGCTCGGATCCTAGAACTCGGCCAGAATAGTCTTTGACCCATGACCTCTATTCCTGATCCGTTGCGCCCGCCAGCGACGCCAGAATGTCTTTATCCACAGCCCCATGTCAGTTCTAAGTAATGGTCTACTGAGTCTACTGCATGGATCGGCTGGTGTACAGCAAGGTCACTTGTATAGGTCAGAGGGCAAGTGTCTCTATCAAAAAAGGTCGGGTCTTTGTAGCAGTCGGTGTGGGTGTCAACGGCAGTCAACTACTTCAGGACCTGTTCGTTCCTCCGAAAATGTCCTACACCCGTATGCAGTAAGCTTGTAGATCTAGTGAACCTTGGTAAAGAAACAAACGTTCGAACCTAATCGCATCCAGGCCACCACAACAAGATGCTCCGCATCGTTGCTTGCGGCGTCCAAAGTGTCTTTGAGAAATATTGCAGTTATCACCTGGCAATCATCATCACGACGCTGTTTGGGAAGTTGCCGCGGCAGCCTCCTTCATTCCGTTCTTTCGTTGAACCCGATTGCAGTCAAACTTAGTAACCGTCCACGATCCGGAAGTCCTGAGAAAACCACCATGACTCATCGCATCCTGTGAACCCTTCCCTTCATCGGTGTTCCAGAGTTTCCAGGGAGTCTCCAAAAAAGGCTGCATCGAGCGCCCGGCACACGACGACGACGGCGGCCACGACGACTACTAAGTGACTACTACGACTACGACGACTACGACGACGACTGCTGCTGCTGCTACTACTACTACTACCACTACTACTACTACTACCACTACCACTACCACTACCACTACCACCACTGCTACTACCACTGATGATGATATGACTGCTACAACTCGTTACACGGCGACGACTACTGACCTGTTTCTTCAGCTTGTCTTCTACATGCCAAACTCCGACACCACCTGAAGGCATCCATGCAAGGGAAGAACCGGTTGGAAAAACTGCGGCTTGGCAACGTGGCGCAGTGGCATGTTCCGGAAGCTAGAACCCTTGATGAGCCCCCTATGTTGGAAGTAGTTCGCTGAGCTCCCCGCACGAATTACGGCGAAAACCACCAGCGTTATGTAGGCGAGAAAGAAAATGGAAAAGACACTGCTCCTTGAACCGGGCCATGCTTGCACTGCTATTCAACATTGGAGCAAGTTGAGGCTACTGTTTTCATTCCTTGCACTGTCGGTTCGGAGGTGGGGCTTTAGGCGATGCAGCTCCTATCTCGAACATGCGGCTACGCGCTACAAATCCATCAGGACGGGGCCAAGGCCCATCGTCACAAGGCATCAAGTGATATCAGATGCAAGGTTGAACTCTCGCAACTGCTAGCACATCTCACGTGAGTTTCAGGGTTCTGAGGTGGGCCACCGTTGCAATAGGGAAACATTACACAACGTCTGTGTATGTCTGCGTCATGTCTACGTGTATGTCGGTACATATATACGCGTATACAGCTATGCAAACGCATCTGCATGTGCATGTGCAAAGGTAAGTGCACAGGTATGAATACGCATCTGTGCGTGTGCGCATATACGAGTATGTGTGTACACCTGTATGTATGCGCGTAATGCAGGAAAATTTTATGTATGTATATGCATGTATGTATGTATGTAAGTATGTGTAAACGTATGTATGTATATCGGACACTGGCTGCTGACCGGTGTGGCCTAAGGAGGCTGTGATCACCGAACCACACCATCAAATGACCACAAACCAACAACAGCTGGCAACAGCCGAGCCGAATTCACAAAAAAAGCAACCACACAAACGCAACTGCCAGCACAGCAACATGACAACCTCAAGCAGGATCGAGGTACGAAGATTTCGAAGGCTCAGACCGACGGGGTACATAAGTCATTTGGGGTACATAGGTTATTCCCACAACAAATATACAGGTCTTTATGATTGTACCCCTTACAAATAAGCCAAGGTCTAAAGCCAAGGACAGAAGAGCTGAGAGATAGCAAAGTACAGTACATAATCCTTCGGCACCCTCACGTCCCAATCGTTGGCAAGTCACACTTGATCAATCACTGGCCGTGCATATGTAGGCCAGTTGCCTGCCGGAACACTTCCCCCAGCTCCTAGCTGTTGCTCCGAACGATGCTTTGAACAGAAATGCCAGCACGAGACATGCACAACTACTTTTGTACACTCGTGCTTCTTAAAAGGACAGCTGGCTGTTCAGGGCGGAGGCCGGAAGCTCAATTTCTGAGGCGGGATCAACCAAACCCTTCACCTGATCTGACAGCCGCCACCATTCAATCGGAAGCATGAAGGCCTACTCCAATAGCCTTTCCTACCCAAGCCTGAGGATCCTGACCTCGCCACGGAAATGAGACCGAGTGGTGACTACTGGCGTCATGGTCGAAATCCTGTCGCCTCTGAGGGAACCAAAAGCTCCATCCTTATACAGTTTGAGGCCCCGGAAAGCAAGAAGGACCATATGGACCCTTGGCCTGCAAAGGTAATTTCCTTAGAGAACGAGACAGTTCCGGATCTCAGGCCGAAGAAGACTTCAGCTATCATGGAATCGAGCTAATGTAACATGTAGCTGCCGAGTGTCGTAAAGCGTATACATTGAGCGCAGTGCTGTACCTCAGCTACGACGTCATCACATGGCTGCTGGGCAACTCCACGGGGTACAGAACACCACTTCATGGGACCTGTTCAAGGTTTAAGGTGAAGACGAGGCACCATAATGGACCCAGATCCACTCGCGCCACATCTCGTCCTCTTCCGGATTGGCGATGAACTCCTGCAACCTTGTCGGTGACATCAGATTAGGTCAAAGCTGCTTTGCATGGCAGAACGTCTTGAGCTTTGCAAAGATCATCCCCATCAGCAGCTTCATGGTGGTGTGTTTCAGCCAAGTCCCGAACACGTTGCAAATCTTCGTACAAAGGATTGACATCAAACTTCTCGGAACTGAAAGCTGAAAGGAGGCAACACTGCACTCCCAGAAATAAGATTCCGTTGAAGGACGAGAACTAAACGGAGTGCACATGAGGGCATGCGGGCTCCCGTTCTGTGCATGCACGCTCACGCACCAACCCCAAATAGGGCTTCTATCCTGTCGGTATCTGTCGGTGAAGTCCTAACCACCAGATAACAGTGCCTCTTGCTTCCATGGACAATCTAAACATTCAGTTGGGACTCGCGCTATGAGTGTATGAAAGATTGGATCGGGTACCGTGCCGACTTGTGTAAACAACTGTTGAATAGTTCTGGACGAGCGCTAAGAAAGTTTGATTGTTACATTGCGCAGGAACCTAAGCAGTGTCCGTCGATGCTCTGGGGCTGTTTAGGTGGAGATTATTGATTCCAAATTTCGGAACCCGCACATCAGCGACTGTCGAGGAAACGCAGGTTCAACGTGCAGCTTTGGTTTCTTGGGATCTGCTGCTCCAGATGATATTCCACAAGTGATCCGTCTGTGATACAAACGGTCACATACAATAGGTCCTAAGTCTCAGCCCTCTTATATATCCAAGCCAGGTCAGAGAGCCCCTACCCGAACCGTTTGATTGCAACTGCTGACCCTACACCGTATGTCAGCTTAAGCAAAATCGTTGCTGCAGTGAACATCTTCTATACACGTAAGATCATATGACTAGGGAATGCCAGTGCTGTGCACATTGCCGAGTTCATGAATCATGGCTCTGCGTTCTAGACCTGGAATCGTGACAAGTGACACCAAAGACATCCAGCCCACGGTGGACTACGGTTACAAGGACGAAACAGCCCCACGACCAAACCGAGGAACAGGTTGCCCAGCATCAATGCACCCATGATCATGAACACTGCAAGCAATACCATGGACCAGCACAGCGAGGGAAGGAAGGAAATACCTTGGCTGCAGGTTTGGACTTGCAAATGGTGGCCAGGGCAATGTTCATGCTTCACGAGTGCGGCGCAAAGCGACCACGACAACGGTAACAATCATGTTGCAACTTCTCAACGTGCGGCCTACAGTCGTCGTCGTCGTGGTCGTCGTCGTGGTCGTCCGTGGTCGTGGTGGTGGTGGTGGTGGTGGTGGTGGTGGTGGTGGTGGGGGCGGCGGCGGCGGCGGTGGTTGTGGTGGTAGCGGCGGTGCTGATGCCATCGCACCGCTCTGCAAACAAATCGCTCCTCCCACTGCTGGGCTGCTGGCGGCCATCAAAATCGCATGCCATTTGTGATCAAGGTGCATGCCATCACAAGAACACGCAGTCCGCGAAAAAGGCGCAATGTTCGCCTTAGGTTGAGGCTCTTGTGTCCACGCTCGCCGAACCCTTGACCTTCAACATCTCCATGGCTGGAGTCCGCAACAGTTCGTGGAGCCGGTGGCTTTAAAACAACCAGGAAAGTATTCAGAACAATGGACCCTTGAGGAATCGGAGATCTCCAAACAAGCTTAGGGCTTCGTGCACGGATGCACGTGTTGATACCAGGCTACCTTTTGGGTAGCAACTATGGCGTCTGGCAGTTGGGAAGGACTCCTCGTTGGGTCTTAACCTGATCTAAGCCCTTGAACGAGTTGAAATGGAAGGGCTTTGGAAAAAATCGCTGTGAGACTCCGAGGCTGTGATTGTGGCCCTCATCATTGAGCGTTTGCTCAGGGTTTCGACTCTCACACTAGGTTTTAAGTTTAGGGCTATACTGTCTGAGATTAAGCCCAGCAACCAGACTTGAGGACGTGGGAACACTACCTTCCCGAAAGGCCGGGCGGCACCATGCGAATCGCCCGCATTGACTTCACCGCTCGTGCCAGACGCAATAGGATCATCTGGTCGGTTGCACCGCCTTGTTCAAATGTCTAGTCTTAGTCTCGCTATTCGAAGCAGGGGCCCCGTCTTTGCTCAGACTGCATCACCAAAAACCTACATCTGACCCTATGTCTCCATGCCCATCATTGAAATCAAGAATCGAACCTTGCAAGAAACAAGCTCAATTTGGCTCCTTTCCGTCACTTAGAACATTTCTCGTCCCCTGCAATCCGGTGCCTCCCAGAGCCATTGGCCTCAACAGCCAAACATCTAGGCACGTGGTGGTGGCAAGGAAGATGTCGAACCAGTTCCTGAAACTGCACACGAAATTGACCGATCAAGGCGACCATCACCATCATTGTCACAGCGAACATCATCAGTGTCACCATCTTTAATCATGAACTACCTACCACTTACTACTTAACTTACTACCCACTACCTACTAGCTACTAGTTGCTACTTGCTACTTACTATGTTCTCAATAATTAATACTTGCTGCTACTACTACTACTACTACTACTACGACGACTACGACTACGAGTAGGACTACTACTACTGCTACTACTACTACTACTACTACTACTACTACTTCTACTACTACTACTACTACTACTACTACTACTACTACTACCCTATCCCCCTCTGGTGCGACGCCGGTCGCTCAGTTCGTGCATGTTCAACATGTTCAATGAGAGCTGTCGCGGTCCAAGATGCGGCGCTGCAAAGACAAGGATCGTCCGCACCGCTGTAGCAAGTGTCAGCAGGTGGGACATAGAAAAGACAGCTCGCAGTGTCCTTTGTATGATGGACCGACGACCGACAAGCC